AACAACGCTGTTGTGGGGAAAGGGTTCACGTTATTTCTCTCTGAGGATGACGTTACGTTATGATACACCGGGTCATGCAGGGCTTCAGGAGTGAGTGAGTAAGTTTAATTTAAGTCACGTCGGCATTATCTTAGCCATACTGTGACTTGATCAAGTTATACACTTGTACGATACTTTTATACCAAACATTCCACACAAAGGACAGTAAAATAGCTAGATGATCGCAGATAGAAATTCAAAACTAGTATGCATATCTAAACTGTTCTTCTACATAAGACAATATAATATACGAACAAGCTATAAATTGGCAACAACTGAAAGTAGATCACCATACTTGAAACCATGGGGACTTGACAGTACATTTGCTTCCTGCTTGGACCCCAGCTGGATTTACACCATCCCTTCAGATGATAGCAATTCTACAAATCTATCCATACGCTCAAATAACATAAATACTACAATTAAAGATAGCGGTACATCTAAATTTACTGTTTTGGGACTTACGTAGGCAAACCATAGTGTATTGACCCTCGGACATGTTTAGAGGATCTACGATTCCAAGTCACGAAAATATATTCCAGCTTTAATTCCAAACATATCTCCAGCTTCCTCTTTGGAAGTTATTTTTTAGAACCAAATATATCGAAGCACGGTCAGAATGCTAAATATTGACAGTTAAAGACATACATGAATCTATATCCAGAAACAATCTTGAAAACTTTATCCCAAACCCGTGAAGATCAGGGTTAGACTATTGATCTTCAGTAACCCATGCTTGTCGTAAGGGGCGACTAACGGGATCTGGTGGTCAGGCCTGCTAACTTGGTTGACACATGTCATCGGTTCCCAATAGCGTAGAACAATGCTCATGATGTTGATCACTGGTGTTTCTGGTCCAGACTCGATTATTTTTAGTTCGCCGCCATATACCGGGAATATTGCTGAGTGCGGTGTTGTCTCACATTGTAAACCAATAGTGAGTGCTTTCCGCAATCTGATTGGTTAATTACCCTTGTCGAATATTGTTCCACATACCTGAAAATGATGGCCTAATAACCGCACATTAATACGCTGGCACTCATACCGTACTATTTTCGCTGCATGAATTTGCATAATTGAGGAACATTACCACCTCAAATTCTTACCCTGGGATTTTGATACAATCTTTGAAGACGACAAATTCGTGGAAGAATTATTCAAAGATGATGGTGTATACAATCACATGGCACATAATCATATGTGATCAGATAATAGTAAAGTGATTAAAGAGCCATAAAATTATATCCTTCAATAATGTTTATTCACAAATGAACTGCTCCGCAAATTTCAAGCCTTCGAGTATTTAATTTGGTACAATATTCCAAGTTTAAAGATGATTATTCAGCCAAAGAATAAGTTAATGATACTTGTTTCTAGATAATGATCTTCCAAACTACACCAATGCCAGCACTCGGGACGTTTCCACTTCGAAATTCCAGAGCTAACGCTGACCCGGCTCTATCTCGAGCGTCCCTCAACAGTCCCGCTTTGCTAAGGTTGATGAGAATGGCCTGAGGGAAATAATTGATGGGTCATTATCGAAAGCAACTGAGAGAAATACAATTTTCTTCACAGGTGTGCAACGTTTAACATTTTGTAAACAAACCAAAAGTAAGTTGCATGTTAGTTACCTCCCTTTCGCTAGACTGTCACAATGCTTCTCAACAGAATTATCAAAGGCATAAAAGCAAATATAGTTATTATTTCTCAAAAACAGCTTTCAAAAAGATTTACATCTGATCTAACACTGCATGATAATATTATGATATACTAAAATAGTAAAAAATAAATACTAATCGGTAATAATGAAAACATACTAATGCAGTCTAGAAAAATCCCACTGACACAAGCCCAAGCATATCAAAACAAATAAAAATGTTGAAATCTTACCTTATGTGTCCGGTTTCATCCTTCATGTTGTACAAATCCCACATGAATCCCAATAATGAATCGTTCTTTCAACATCCGAAATCTGTCGTCGATATCCGCGATTCTGTTGGGTACACCTCACTTCAGTCACGATGCGTTGGCAAAGATTCACTGTCACAAATGATGAAAAACATCTCGAAGAATGACACGTTGCCACACACATACAAAAATCACTGCCTTCGCGCAACAGCCACCATTCTGCTATCCCATGCCGGAATCGAGTTGAAAGTTTAAAATCATACTGCACCGAATCCAGCAGTGTACAGAAGAGGTCGTACTCGGCCATTTTGCAGGGGTCTGTCTGATCGCCAACGCGTCGATTCTCGTGCCGTTGCCACTGTTTCATCATCTTGGCCCTTTTCACACTTGCAAAGTTCTTCAATTGTATCCGTGATGGGAATGTTTCAGGGCATACAGAATTCTACCATAAATGTCAGCTTCGTTAATCGACAGTAGGCCTAACTTTACATGATCAAATCCTTGTGGTCATTCTTGAATGGACCAGTCTATGTAAGATCACATCAGGTGAAGAAGGTAGCATAAAATGGAATTCTTTCATTTCCATTGCAATTCCAGTGGTATTGCAGTACTTGAGATTGTAATGTTACTCATCAAGTTTAATTTTAAAAATGACTGAATACATTTTGTTTTGTGTATTACATTGACAGATATTCATTTCGAACATGACGTAACCTATCTCCCCCATTAGATAATAGCGTAACCCTTCTTTTGTCGTGTCTCGTATCTGGGGTGATAGAGAACTTAACGCCGTCGGTTTTAAACTAAATTTGCCTATGTTGAATTCCAATGAATCCCGGAAATTGAACAAACCAAACTATTTATCTTCTAATTAAACACGTCTGGGAGGAAAAGGAGCGGCGTCAACAACACTGAAGGAACTCTGCCAAAATCGTTCCTTGGGTATGGAGCGATCTTAATCAGGACCTTCAGCGACGTTCAGTGGCCTCAGTGATTTCTGCCTGCATGTATGCACGAGGTTGGCACAATCATTACTGACTATGTGAACTTGCTTGAGAACCCCATCTTGTGTTGGTACTCATGTGCATACGTAAAAGTTTAACACAGGTTCTGTTTGTGTTTTGTGTGTCGCAAAACATTGTCCCCTTGAATATACATGTATAATTTATTTTCTATACAAAGGGTCAGGTGATGGAAAATATTGATATTTCAGAGTCTTTGAATGTCCGTTAGAAGTGACAAACACTAACGTGAAAATCGACGGATGTTAACTTCTGTAATATGTTGAACACGACGTTGTGGAGTATATTTGTACTCCGTCACGTTAGAATATACATTCATGGCGCAAACAATGACAGAGATCGAGGCACGCTATATATGCCGATTTTCTATGCATTACCTTTGTAAAAAGACTCATAGGTATGAATTTATTGTCGTGAACAAAAATATGAAACAGATGACGACTTATATTTCCCATTACCTTTTTATGTATAGTTCATCGCCCGTCAAGTATGTCTGTTGTCGAGGACCACGACATGGGAGGTAACTCTATCAGCTTCCTGGAGTTCGATGGCTTTCGGTATCCTATCGTCGACCCGGAAATAATTAAGGGCATGTCGCAGCTGAAGGTCAAGGATGACGATATCTTCCTACTGGCTTATCCGAAATCAGGTATCTTCACTGGTATATGCCTACCACACTCAACACCATACTGGAAAGACTGATATTAACAATATAGGTGATAAATCGGCAGTTACAGGAACTAAGTCAACGGTCATTGTGAATTTGTTTTGTGTTTTATTTCCAAAATGTAATCTACAATCAAAACGGGTATTGCTCATTTACCACTCTTATTTAGTGAAAACATCCAATGTCAGTTTGATCATTCGGTGACTATAAACTTGAGCAATCGCAAGTGATGTTTCTATTGATCGCAAATCACGTGTACATGCACTTGTTGTTGTTTACATTGATGTTGGTGTGGAGGGCATGACATGGTTATGATTATTAACTTTGTGATCTAGCCTTATAATTATAATTATTGATTATAAAAAGGTAAACACTTCATGATTAAGAGAATACAGTCCTAATAAATACTTTTTTGACACGTTTCCATGGTACAATCAAATGTAACGAAAGCAGAGCCTAAAGTAAATGCCTCATAACCCCTAGGTACACACTGGCTTTGGGAAATCACATCCATGCTGCTCCAGGGTAAAGCAGAGACCATCCCTCACTGGAAGAGTAAAGTCATGGTAGAGCTCCAGCCACAGGAAGTCATAGACGCATTTCCAGGATCCCCTCGCGTCCTCAACACGCATGTTCGGTACAACCAGCTTCCGGTAGAAGCGAGAGAGAAGAAGTGTCGAATTATCTTTGTTCTGAGAAATCCTAAGGATGTTGTCGTGTCCTTCTTTAACCATCATAAGGCTTTCAAGAATCTATATGGGAACTACAATGGATCTTTAAAGGATTATCTCCCATTCTACCTGGCTGGGAAAAGTAAGTCATTTGTCATTTCCTTGTTCTTTTGTTTGGTGCGGATCCTAGCTTAGGGTTCGACCATTTGATAATCAGATTATAGAAACTCTATTCAGCTAGTTACTGGTGTCTGATGTATTTCAAATCATACCTTTTTGTGAATATTCGTCCTCAACAACCTTGCAATTTCACAAAATTTTGGTCCTTTCCGATTTAATCAAACAATGACCTGAGTTCTGAGTTATTGTGACCCATCTCGTCAAACAGCAAAAACACAGGAAATGAGAGAGCAGACGGCAATTTGGGGCTGATTACGGGACAGTTACGTGCATAAACTACAAATTGAATATGCTAGATGTTTATGTCGCGTGGAATGCGGCGCATTATAATAACGATTTAATTTTCAAAGACCGCGACGCAGAATGCAAAGTGACGAATAATTTAGGCACCAATCTGTATAACATATACACCAGCACCATTATCTTCTTGTAGCGGACTACGGATCCTGGTTCGACTATGTCCTGCAGTGGGAGAAGGACATCGAGGCCGAGCAAGACCGACACCCTATACACATGATGTACTATGAAGACATGAAGCAGGTCAGAGATTTCACAGGTTATGTTAACGAAATGAAAAGTACAAATAAATGTGTGAAAGAAAAAGCTCAAAAGCCAATCCTAATCACTGCATAGGTATCAGAAAGGCAATGCGAGTGAGTAAATGTTGCTTTAAGCTGCATTTTGAATCAGTACAATTTCAAAGGTAATATAATACAAGAGCATTGGTAAGTACAATTTGTAACGAGGTATGTTATTCAGGGAATAATGATCATCACACACAATACTGGCCGTCTAACTTGAGATGGAATTTGTGATGAGGGGGAAAAGCCAGCTCCTTGTATATCCAGGGTATTAGCAATCTACAATGCTCGTCTTCTTGTAACTTGTAACTTGTGAGGCACCCATGAAGGGCCACCTCCTCGTGGTGGGTGCTGGGTAACGCTTAGCGCCCTTCAACACCCCGTTGTGGACCCGGGGGCATATTTGGTCCACCAACCCGTTTGCCGTGGGTTGCGCCCCTGTGTCGGTGGAGGACGGGAGGCTGGTGGTTGAGGGCACTGGTTCCAGGAACAGTGTTCCTTTGCCCAACACACCACTTCGCCCCTTACTTCACCTAGACGGGTGGTTGAACTGGCCCGGTTCAACCAATCGGCTGGTCACGTCGAGCCCTGTGTGTACTACAATTGTGAATTGTTACACAAAATTTTGGGATTTATATAATGATATTTTTAAGTCTTGGCCAATTTTTGATCTCATAATTTCAAATACACTATTTCATGTATGTTTTTGCCTAGAGTCGTATGCGCAGAAGGCGGTGGCCCATGGGCCAATCTGGTGGAAGAATAAATCTTTTACTTTCTGCTGCTGGAGTATATCATCCGAGTATCCTTGGTGCTGCAAGTTGGAAACCCACTTGTTTTTAGCATTGTCTTCATGATACTCCATGGTGGGTGGGGAGCTCGGATGATGAACCTTTAAACACTAACCATGGCTAACGAAACCCCTATTACCAAAAAGAAATGTCCTCTTGACACAGATCCTGAGGTTAATGACCAACGACCGTCCACGTCTATTGAATACTGGCCACGTTTTATAGTGCTTGAGACTGTTGACAAGTCTCCTTTAAAACTGAACCCTTTTGCTGTTTCAAAAGGCATACAAGGCACTGCAGGAGATGTAAAACAGGTCAAACGTTTGCGGACAGGTTCTCTACTTGTTGATTGCAGTAAGAGATATCAGGCAAACAACCTTGTGTCAACTAAATCTTTTGTCGGCATTCCCGTATCAGTTTCGGCTCACCGAACACTTAACACCAGCAAGGGTATTGTGAGAGACCGAGAGTGACTGTTTGCTGATATGCTAGAAATTAAAATTGCATCACAGATGAAGGAACAAGGTGTTCTATACGTGAAACGTTTCACTGTCCGAAAAAAAACAATGAGATCCAACAAACGAACACCCATTTGTTTTCATTCTCCACTCCAACTGCTCACTTCCATAAAGGCTGGTTACTGTCAAATCAAAGTGGATACGTACAATCCGAATCCACTGAGATGTTTCAAGTGCCAGAAATATGGCCATCTTGTAAATACTTGCACATTGTCTGTTGTGTGTGCTCACTGTGGTGAGAAGACACACACGACAGAAGTAATTATAAGAAATGCACAAATTGTTCTGGAGACCATTCCTCTTTCTCTAAAGACTGCCCAATTTGGAAGCTACAGATGGAGATAAATAAGATCAAATTCACTCAAAATATTAGTTTTGCCGAAGCTAAACAGCTTGTCCAAAGATCTGAATTAAAAGAAACGTATGCCTCCAAAACCAGGACTCCATCTGAGGCAACACTTAAAGTAACTACATCATCTTCAAGCTGCCAAACAAATTTGACTTAGGTGAAAAGCACTTCTCCACAGATTTTCTCCCACTGCAATATCGATTCAAACAGTAGAATCACTTCCTGACAGGTCCGACAGTCAACCAGAGCCAGATCATGATCATGGTCTAAAGGTCAACAAGGTCTAAATCGCAAGCTCCTGTACATCACATTACTAAAGGGAAGAATAAACCTAAGCCTGATTATTCGAAAAAACAAAGTGGCAGAACCCCAAAAGGGTCTGACAATAAAATTAACCTTTACAACAAATATGGATCACTTGAGGACATGGACGTGTCCGAAAATGTCAATTCTAGGGCACAAAGCTTGTCGCCCTCCAAAACAGTGCGGGGGAGATCCCCAATAAATCCCCCGAAAGATAGTTTATTCCAACAACATTGTACAGTGGACTTGCAGAGGACTACGGCATAATTACAATGAGTTACAGTTATTAGTCCAGGATTGTATGCCGTCAGCATTTTGTCTGCAAGAGACATATTTAAAGCAGACTGATTCTTTTGACCTACGTCATTTCAATACTTATCATTATTTCTCACCTCCAGGTGACAGGGCCACTGGAGGATCTTCAATCCTAGTCAAACAGTCTGTTATCCATAGGCATATTACACTTACTTCTAATCTTCAAGCAGTTGCGGTGCGATTCACTTTACACGTTGCATTTACATTATGCTCTTTGTATATCTCACCGTCTTCAGTCATTCAGAAGACTGATCTTCAAACTCTCTATGTCCAACTACCAAAACCCTGTATTATTATGGGGGACTTAAATGGCCACAACGCACTTTGGGGTGGTACAACTACTGATGCTAAAGGTAAACTGTTAGAAGAGTTCTGTTCAGATAATGATATATGCATATACAATGATGGTTCCAACACCTATTTACATCCTGGCACTGGAAGTTATTCGGCGCTTGATTTATCAATCACGGATTCAAATCTACTGAATGAATTTGAATGGTCAGTTCACGATGACCGCTGCTGAAGTGACCATTTTCCTACAATTCTTACATCCGTTAACCCATCTGATATTACCCCATCTTCAAGATGGAATTTTAAGAAGGCTAACTGGCCTTTCTATCAAGCTCTGTGTTGTAACAGACTTAAACCTGAACATTGTATAGAAAGTCCTGATCCTATAAAGGCTTTCTCTGATGAACTAATTAACATTGCTGATGACTGTATCCCCAAATCCTCTGCAATTCCACACATACGAAAACCATGGTTCAACAATGAGTGCAAACAGGCTAGGAAGGCACGGAAGAAAGCTGAAAATTATTTCCGTCGCCATCCTATGGTCCATAATTTGAATACATTTAAAATTTTAAATGCTAAGGCACGGCGTACCTTCAAGCAAAATAAACGTCAATCCTGGCGAACTTATGTAACAAAAATAAATTCACGAACACCAGAAAATAAAACGTAAGGGTTCTAAATCTAGCATTAAGCATCTTAAAGATGGAGACGAATTATTAACTAATAAATCTGATATTGCAAATAGACTTTGAGAAACTTTGGCCAAACCCTCTTCCTCGTCGAATTATTTACCTGAATTATACAAAACAACAGGAAAAGAAAACCATTAATTTCATTTCAGATAAAGGGGAAGATTACAATGAACTGTTTTCTATTCATGAGCTTCATACTGCTCTTGATCAAGCTCATGATACGGCTACAGGTGCTGATAACATACATTATCAGTTCCTGAAACACTTACCGGATTCATGCTTAGAAACTCTTTTAAACATTTGTGATGATATTTGGACTTCTGGACAATTTCCTTCTTCATGGCGCGATGCTATTATTGTCCCCATCCCTAAACCTGGACGTGATCATACTGATCCTTCGAATTATCGACCAATCTCATTAACTAGCTGCGTTTGCAAGACCATGGAGCGTATGATAAATAATCGACTTGTGTGGTACCTGGAAACTAATAACCTCATAGCAGACATTCAATGTGGTTTCCGTAAAAACAGAAGTACTATCGATCATTTTGTGCGTTTAGAATCTTTTGTTAAAAATGCCATTATTAAAAAACAACATGCAGTGTCGATCTTTTTCGATTTAGAAGAAGCATATGACACCACATTGAAATATGGTATTTTAAGAGATTTACACGATTTTGGATTGAGAGGCCGTTTGCCTCTTTTTATATCACAGTTTTTAACGGACAGGCAATTTCAAGTTCGCATGGGTTCTACGCTGTCTGATTGTTACATTCAGGATCAGGGTGTCCCACAAGACAGTATTTTGTCTGTCACACTCTTTAGTATTAAAATAAATAGTCTTTCAAAGGTTTTAAGTGATTCAATCGATGGATCTCTTTTCGTGGATGATTTTAATATTTCTTTCCGTGGTAAAAACATGCGAACTATTGAGAGACAATTACAAATTTGTCTAAACAAAATTCATACATGGTGTCTAGAAAACGGGTTTAAATTTTCGAAATCCAATACAAATTGTCTACATATCAAACATCTAAAAGCCAAATGCCTGAAGGCACTCGACTTGTTGAAAGTCGTTTTTTAGTTCAAAGTAGGGAGGGGACCAAACCACCCTCCTTCATTTGTATAGATCCCTGGTCCGCTCGAAACTTGATTACGGCTCTATCGTATATGGTTGGGCCTGTAAAAGCAACCTCAAACTACTTGATTCTATCCATCACCAGGGTCTAAGACTTTGTCTTGGGTTTTTCAGAACCTCTCCCATTGACATTCTCTACGTTGAGGCCGAAGAACCATCTTTAAAACTTCGCCGTATCAAATTGTCCCTACAATATATCACAAAGTTATATTCTAATGAATCCAATCCTGCTCACACTTGCGTTTTTAATCCTCTTTATGAGGATTTGTATAATAAAAAACCTTCACTTGTTCCACCTCTTGGGATACGAATCCAACAATATATTTCTGCTGCTGGAATTGAGTTGGAGAATATACCTCCTTCCCGTCTTCTTTCTTCTCCTCCTTGGCAATTAGTGAGGCCACAAGTTGACCTAACACTGACAAAGTTTAAACCATCCGAAACTAACGAATTACAGTATATAAGAATATAATCAATTAAAGATTAATTATAATACATACAAATCCTTATTCACAGATGGGTCCAAGGATGGTGGCGCAGTGGCTTGTGCCACTGTCATTGGATCCAGAATAATATCTTCTAGAATACCTGATAACAGCTCCATATTCACAGCAGAAGCAAACGCCATCTTAACAGCTCTTGAATATATTCAAAGACATCCCAAATGTAAACAATATATAATATTTTCTGACTCTCTTTCTTGTCTTCAGGCTATTAAAAGTCTCTCTTGCAAACATCCACTCTTAATTGAAATAATCGAATTATATAATGATCTTGCTACTGGCCAATGCGACATCGTCTTCTGTTGGTTACCCAGCCACGTTGGCATTTCTGGGAACACAATGGCTGATCTTGGTGCCAAGGCAGCACTCAACAAATCTGTGACACCACTTCTCATTCCATATTCTGATTATAAAGCTTGCATTAGAACTTACATCCATGATCCGATGCAGAAGAAGTGGGACACCCAAGTAGGTATCAATAAATTACATGCAATAAAACCCTACATTGGTTACACCTACTTGGGTTGTCAGTCCAGATTTGAAGAGGTCATTATGCGACGATGTCGCATAGGCCATACCAGATATACTCATTAATATTTATTGAAAGGCGAAGATCCTCCGTTTTGTATCCCTTGTGATGAAATTATCAAAGTCAAGCATGTCTTGCTTGACTGCATTGAATATTCCATCACAAGGGATATCTATTTCAAATCCAATACTCTGAAGGATCTTTTTAATAATGTCAGTTCTCATTTAATTATTGCATTTTAAAAACAATTAGATTTGTTGAGTGATTTGTAAATAGATATATATTTTATTATTGGTAGTTTAGATTAGCAACTGAGATTGTTAGTGGCCGAATCCTCAAAGGGGGTTGAAGTATTGTAAAATTATTGTCCTCCTAAGAGGGTACGTAAGTCCCAAAACATTTAGTCAATCAAAGTGTACCTGCTTTTTAATCGTAGAATAAGTGTGTTTTTTATTTATGGCTAGATTTCTCTTCTGTCGCCAATGGCTGAAGGGATGGTGTAAATCCAGCTAGGGTCCATGCAGGTAGCAAAAGTAATGTAAGACCCCATGGTCCCTGGTATGGTGATCTACCTTCAGTTATTGGCGATTTATAGTCCTTTTTTATACTGTATTGTTTTCTCATATAGTTATAACGTTTTAGACTTAATTACTAGTTTTACATCCATATCTGTGATACTCTAGTTTTTTTTCTGTCCTTCGTCGGCAGGTTTTATATAATATACATATATTTCATTTCAATATTGAAATGTTCTCGTCACGATATGGCTGAAATATTGCCGATGTGACGTTAACTATTAACTCACTCACTCACTCACTGTAACTTGTGACATGAGCGGCAAACATTAGCCCCCATGTGGTTTTTAGTACACCCCTAAACACTCAAATCCAACTTTATAACACACCACTGCCCCCTGTAGAATATCAACCTGTGCAATATGTTAAAGTTACTCCGTTGGCACACGAGAGGTTCGTCTAGTTACAACACGATTTGTCCTGGCTTTTGATTCACAGGCGTAGTAATGCAACTACGCCTGTCAATCAATAGCCAGGACAAATCGTGTTGTAACTAGACGAACCTCGAGTCGTGGGTGGGGTAACAGACTTGTACCATGAGATTCCGGCAGTGTGTTTCAAACAAAGTTGCGGGAAAATGAGTGCACCATATGACGTCATGAGTATAACGTCATACGCGCCATCTTAGGTCACCAAGCAGTGATAGCGTGAATGAGTGGGATGATGAAATTGATTATCTTACACTTTCCCAAGTTGGTGAGGCGATGGATTTGAATTTAAAGTTTCACTCCACAAACCGCTCCGGGAAGCACCCGTGTGCTACACGTTTGTACGAAGAGGGAGTAGAAGAGCAGGATATAAAGCGAATAACCGGGCACAAAAGCGCTGAGGCAGTGAGAAAATACAAGAGACCCCACAGTCTATATTGTCAGCCATCAAAAACAAACTGGATCCACCTCTTGCACCTAAACGAATGAAAACGGAGCCCTCTCCCACTGTAAACGCGGCGTCGCAAGTCACGGAGACGGCGGCGTCCACACCATCTATTGTGTATCAAGACTGCATCTTTAACTATTAATTCCAGATTGAAAACAATCAGACGAACTGTATCGGAACTGTTTCTTTAAATTTCAATTCAGGATTGAAAACAATCTAAATGTTAATTTCCTTGCTCTTTTTGTAGTTTAATACAATTGTTTTAAAATGATGTTCATTTATCCTAAATAAATTTGTCAACATTGTACTTGTTTTTATGTTCTACAACGTATCTCAACTTCCTTCTGGCGAAACCTGTTTACGATGACGTCATAGTTTCGGCACACAAAAGGGGGCGGAGCGAGCATTATCCTGTGAGAATCAGTAGGGCGAAACCATGTAGTAACTAGCAGGTTACAACATGGGCAACATCGATGAGACGATCCCAGCAATATTAATGTTATATACAATATATGATAGCGTCTGGACTAAACATCATCAGACATAAATTGAAGGGTCCTGACCTCACCCGGAGTTGGTGATTCAGTTGGATTTAACGTCTCTTTGAACAGAATTCCATCTATATAACACGAGACTAAATTGGTACCAGTGCATGTTAATACTGTTCTTAGACGTGTTCTACTTGATTGGTCGGTGTTAAACGTCGCAGTCAGCAATATTCCATCTATATGGCGGCGGTTGGTACATAATCGAGTCTAGACCAGACAACCCGGTAATCAACAGCTTGAGCATCGATCTGCGCAATTGGCAACCGATGACATGTGTCAACCATGTCAGAGAGCCTGACCACCCGATCCCGTTGGTCGTCCATTACGACAAACATAGGGTGCTAAAAACCAATTCTAACCCGGATCTTCTCGGGTCATTCCACTTGCATGGGCATGTTGACAATCGTGAAATAAACATAATCTGGTCGAACCTAACTTCGAACCCAAAATCTTCGGTTTCTGGCATGCCGAAGAGTTTTAACTCTTTAAACTGAAATGAGATGGGTTGAAAGACTGGACCAACTATATCCCCCTTTTAAACCAGAATCACCATAAACATTTTGTTGTATAACGATGGTTTTGTCCTCAGAACCCCTTGGAGGAAATCCGGAAGTTGGCAGTGTTTCTGGGAGTACCAGCTGATGACTCACTGTACGGCGCCGTGGCAGAGAAATGTTCTTTTAAGAATATGAAGGACGACAAGGAACCATATGATCCCAAGTTCAAGGGCCAGCTTATTGTTTATAGGAAAGGTAAGCTGAAGGAATGAAGGGTATATAGCTTCGTAATTGCTATTGTTCGTTCCGCTTGTTATATAACGACGCACTACTGACACACTTCCATTTTAAGGGACTTAATAGTATATATAATAGCGGAACTGGATCATTCCCCTTCTTCCAGCCCTTTCGGCTCAGTTTGGCTCCCAGTACCCACTAAAAATCGAGGTCTACGAGCGGGACATCGTTGGATGTCCCCGCTCGTATGAAGGTTGAAGACTTTTTAAATGTTGAATAGTGGGCTTTTTACTGTTTGTTGCAGTCGCACTAATTTATAGCAATAGTTGCACTAAGGCATCAAAATTTGTTGATATGTTTTTTGCTTACAAGTGCGCATACTCGGTCAGTGCTACTTGTTTTGGTACTTTTTTCTGGCACACACAAAGTAGCCCAACACACAGAACACAAAACATAGTCGTACACATAAAGTAGTCATACACAAAAAGTAGTCCAACATATTGACCACAAAAAGTAGTCCAATGTATAGAACCCAGAATAGAAGTTGAACACAAAAAGTAGTCCAACACAGAAAAGTAGTCGAAAACAGAAAAGTAGTCGAGCACAAAAAGTAGTCGAACACACAGAAAAAGGTTGAACACAAAAGAGCAGTCCAACACAGAAACGTAGTCCAAGACACAGAAAAGAAGTACAACATGTAGAACACAAAAAGAATCTTCCCAAGGAATTGCATAGAGAAAATGGAAAAAAGTGACACACACAAACACACATATACATAGAGACAGACAGACAGACAGACATGCATAGTTGCGGATTCCTCTCTGCACGCTTCTCCAGACCACCAAACAATTGTTTAAATCTTCTTTACCTGGAATACTACTATCAGGTCGATCGAGGGAAACAGACTTTGTAGCTATTCAAGGACCACACCCACCCCATCCTTAACATGCTTGCCGTATGAGGTCACTATCATGATCGGAGAGTCAGGTTTGCTGACTTGGTTGACATATGTCACCGTATCCCAATTGCGAATATACGCATGCTGGATTGTCTGGTCCAGACTCGATTAATTACAGACCGCCGTCATATAGGTGGAATGCGTCTTTAAACAACATTTCCCTCGTAGGGCTGTCAGTGTGAACACAGTATTGACTGTGTTCCAGGGGCGGTGGGGTAGCCTAGTGGTTAAAGCGTTGGCTCGTCACGCCGAAGGCGCGGGTTCGATTCCCCACATGAGTACAATGTGTGAAGCCCATTCCTGGTGTCCCCATCGTGATATTGCTGGAATATTGCTAAAAGCGGTGTAACACTCACTCACTCACTCACTTTGTTCCTCGTTCCAGGCCAAGTGGGAGACTGGCAGAACTGGCTCACACCGGAACAGAACGAGATGTTTGACAAGCTGTACCAGGAGAAGATGAAGGACAGCAAGTTCAAGGACAAAATTAGGTTCACGCTGGCATAGGCACATTGTAGGATGTGACATACCACGTATGCTAAATGGTACATATAATGACGGAATCACATACACAGTTATCACTACCCCCATGGACACAGCCAACGCTGTAGTAGCTGCTGTTCAAGTTTACAGATTTTACCTATGATATTGTACGCAGAACAAACGGAGAATGAGAAATCCGATCTCAAGCCACATACAGCACGCATGCATTTAGTCAGCGTAGCAATAATGTTCAAAGCGATTGTTGAGAATACAACTTCAGTATTACTTCAAGCTTGACACGCTAACCTGATAATGGCAAATACAAATTGGTATTTGAAATTTGACTACTGCATTTTTGGTAGTATTGGACATGAAATTGGAGACAAGAAGATATTTAGTGGCGATACAAAGACTTGTTGATATGGATACGCTATCTATCCACTTACGATTCCAGTGCTTCCACTATACACATATTTCAAAATACAGGAAACCCGTGAAGATCTGGGTTAGAACTGGTCTTCAGCAACCCATGCTTGTTATAAAAAGGCGACTAATGGCGACGGGTGATCAGACTCACTGACTTAGTTGACACATGTCAATTATGTTGATTGAAATTCATATTGTTGATCACTGGATTGTCTGGCCCAGCACGCCACCATATACTTGGAATATTGCTGAGTGCGACAATAAACTACAAACCAAACCAAACTACAAGGTACATTGTTATTCAGACGGTGTGTCAGTTTAGCACATTTCTTCACAAGGTAAAAAAAATCTCTTTTAAAGATGCCCTGTTGTTGGGCTGTATCACAGCTGAGGTGAAATTGGGTTTAACGTCGTGCTTGAGAATATTTCAAATGACGACGTGCATGCGTGTGTATGTGGATGTGCAGCTGCTTGTACTAGCCCAGACTGAAGCTGGTTTTATAGTGCTAGCTCACTGAGATACCATGCTGCAGTAAAACATTAATGCCCCACTCAGACACATTATACTGACTCCGAGCCGACAGTCCTTCTTGTGCCCATTAATGCCGAGCGCCAGGACCAAGAAGTGCCATATTTTAACATCCTTTGGTATGACACGGTCGGAGATCGAACCCACGACCTTTCGCTCTCCGGGCGGTTGCTCTAACCACTATGCCACGGAGGCGGTCCAGCTGACAGAGGGTAATCTTTAAATATGGAGAAACTGATAAATACTACGTATTCTTTTGAATGTAAACATTGAACGTTTAGGAAAAGATACTTTTCAACTATTGCTCACAACTATATATGTAACCTGGGGCTAAGAGTTTCCGGTCAAATCAACTGTGAACAATAAAAATGTTGATGCTGACGTGACATTAGAGTTTCATTCACTTAACAACCTTAACTCAACAATTGGAAATTAAAACGGTTGGATGTCGGAGTTTGTTATTTTCTTTTCAAAATAAGATATTAACTTCATGTCAGTTGTCAGCGTCGTCTCTAAAACCAAAGTGTCCTCCAACACATGGCATACTTTGAGTTGCTGATTTGAACAGGGTTGTTGGTCTGACCGTATCGCGTTTTGTAATGAAATCATTTATATTATTCATTTGTTTCCTTCTGGGACAAACGTCTTGCACCAAGACATCTTATTCCCATTTGTGTTTAGCACCATAGCTTTGGTAGGACCCAGAGGTATGATACCTCTGGTGAATGGCATGATCTTGGTTGGCTGCCGGGAACAGAACCCTTCTGACACTCAGGGTAATGTAGTGAACAACTGCTGTCCAGATTATTCTTGGTGTGTTTGACTAGACAGCGCTTCCTGGGAGACGTCCCATGAACTGTCTTGGTTACTAGTGATGGGGCAAAGGTCCTGAGCTCATGATGCCAGTGCCAGGAGATCCCGAACCCTTTATGTCCCAGCTGTTTTAATCAGTGCATTATAAACCAGAAATAATGAGCGTACAATGCCATGCTCTCCATAAAGTCAATGAAGGCGCAAAGTACTGGCATTGTGTCCGGTCAAAGGATCATTGTTCACTCTATTTTCGTTTCCTGGGGAGTATATCACCAACAAAACTATGTATTTTAGAAGCATGTAAATGATTCGTCATAAGTTCTTTTCAGTACATATTCTTGAACAACACAGCAAAGTATTACATCTACAATTTCACTTTCTACAGTTTAAAACTGTGAGTGTTTTGTGAAAGATTCACGAAACATTCTCACTGAGTATTCCTGGTGATATCATGTTGATGAGTGAGTATGGTTTTGCCGCTTTTAGCAATATTCGAGCTCAGGACACCAGAAACAGGCTTCTCACATTGTGCCAATGTGGGAATTGGAAGCCAACGGTTTATTCAACCTGCGCCAACAGATCAGGAGGTACCAAACCAAGGGCACCAAGAACAATGGGTAGTCTGACGACAGTGTACTTGGGACCCAAGCAAGACATTACAAAAGCGAGGTCCGCATATGCATTCAATAACACGGATGAATTCATTCAATTTTTAAAAAACCAGGTTTGTTGGCAGGAATTTGTCTTCTGCTGTAGATGGACCTATTCCATATAGGCACCATTTTCCATGACGCCCTGGGCATGCTGAGGCTCAGAGCAACATGCACGTTTAAAGCGGTAATGGAAACAACGTCTAAGATATGCTGTTTGTGCCAAGGAAGAACACGCCGACTTCATCCGGGCGAATGAGTCAGTTATACTGCCATTCTGTTCCACACACTGCATTTCTGTTTCTAACATATCTTCTCCTCAAATGACCAACTCTGGGCAGACTTGGTGAATGATTTCACCTGGTTTTCTACCATCGCCGTAACGTCCAGCAATACATAAACGGCATAAACGAAATCAACCTCAACTTGATTCTGTCCAACAGCCTTGAAATGGTTAAAATAGCTCAGAATGTCCTAGCGTTTCATCGGATATATAATGGACTTGTAAATGCAAACATATGTAACTCAAAGAACAAAGAATTAGCAGTTACATTGTCGCCATGTACTTCTCCATAATTAAATAGCAAACTCGTGTTTTTGCGTACAGTGGTATGGAAGGATGGAGAGGTGTCATGTGTTTCGAAGACAATGCATCGTGTACATCGCCTACAAGATAAGAAACATACAACCCTACTACTCAAAATAAAGATGTTAAAACATTCTTATTCCAACTTGTTTGCTAGGATCTGTGGTAATCCTCATGCTAATGATATAGCTGGTACTTCTGGAAACATTTACTGTTGCAATTGAAATTTTGTAATTGGTTTTCAATATTTTGTCTCTTGTCATTGAGCCTGAGCCTTAAGAATTTAGTGGTAACTGTTTCAGAATCTGGGGCACCTTCGTGAACTCTTTTTTAAACAGTTTCTGGTTCCCGGTTATTGAGTTATGATTTTTACAAAAACGGCGGAATAATATATTTTGTAATGCACACGTCATGTATGACGATATTGAAATGTTATACACGATAGGAAATATATTGTCATATTTTCAATTCTAAATGTGACTAATGAAATCTTCAAAGTCATATATTCATGTGCCAAAACATATTTTCAAAGCCTCAATAACGCATACATTTGTCGACGCATGTCAAAGAGCTCACTGACATGCAAATCTTTATCTACAAACCAACCCATTACCAGTCAAAGCACCCAATAGTATACGCATCCTTCCCCCAAAATAACCTCTGTCACAAGTTTCACTTCAACCTTTAAATTATTACAAGTCAAATCACCCAATTACACATACACCCTTACTGACAAACCATCCTGTTACAAGTCAATAGCTATATCGCTCTCTTTCTCTCTTCCTGCCGCAATGTGTGACGTTATACATGCCAACTAGTAAAAGTTGGAAAACTATTTTGGAATGATTACATCAAATGAATTATCCTGTCCCTACGCCTTGTGGCAAATGTGCATGTCTCACACGGATTGCATGTCACCGGGCCAGGTGGTTAGATACTGTTTGGCCTTTGCACTAATGATTGCAGCAGGAATATGTCAAGTGCAGCGTTAAAACTCCATGAACAGTTGATCTTATTCCATGAGTTTATTAACATGATTCTGTCTGCATCGATGAGCTTGACTTGAGCTACAGCGGTACACAATCACATATGATCAGAGCAACTATTTATATTATTAATGGGAGCTTACCACAGAAAGTGTGCGTGTGTCAATATACGCTATGTACAGAGCCATGTACCCTGTCAGATCAAACTGATCAGTAAATGTTGCTTGGGTTATTTTCGTCCGGAATATTCACTCATGGTTTAAAATACAATCGAACTCAACTTTGGTTATTTCAATTGGTGTCACCCTGTTTACTCGTGGTATGTCATCGTGGCCCAGTACTCTAGAAGGCATTTCAGTTCCACTGTTGGCTCGTTGTGTGCCATTGTTACTCAGTACTCTACAATGCATTTCAGTTCCCCTGTTGGCTCATTTTATGTCATCGTGACCCAGTACTCTACAAGGCATTTCAGTTCCCCTGTTGGCTCATTTTATGTCATCGTGACCCAGTACTCCGCAATGCATTTCAGTTCCCCTGTTGGCTCGTATGTATGACCCAGTTCTCCACAATGCGTATCAGTTTTCCTGTGGGTTGGTTGTGTCTCCACAATGCATTTAGGTTTTCCCCACATATGAATTGCTGAGTGTCATCGTGACAGGCCCTTAAACTCCCTCAGAGATGGGATCGTTGTGTGTCATCGTGAGTAGGGACTCCACATGACCCAGGACTTCACAAAGCACTTAAATTGCTCACAGATGTGTTCAAAACGTTTGTGAAACATACTGGTAGGTAAGACTTTCAATACTGTCACATGAACACAACCATGGAACAAACAACGACATATATTCCTCACTATCATTTATCTGTGGTCCCCACAGTGTTACGTCAGCCGTTCAAGCATGTCTATTGTCGTAGACCACGACATGGGAGGTAACTCTATTAGATTCTTGGACTTCAATGGCTCTCGGTATCCAATCGATGACGCAGAAGCACTGACTGACTGACTGAGTTTGGTTTTACGCCTCTTTTAGCAA